GTGCTGTGGGAAGAGAAGAAACCTAACACTAAGAAAGACTGCAAACATCAATAAATTAAATTGACCCCAGATAAAATTAATTTTATGGAATGGTCTGATAAAAGACTTTACATATGTTTGTGTGCTCAAAGAGAAAAATACATTCACTAAAAAGCAAGAGCCCTGGCCAGTGTGGCTTGGTTGAGCAGCATCCCATGCACCGAAAAGTCCCCAGTTCTATTCCCAGTCAGGGCACATGCATAGGTTGCAGGTTTGTTCCCTGGTCAGGGTGCCTATAGGAAGCAACCCAGTGTTTCTGTCATCGATGTTTCTGTCCCTCTCCCTTCCTCTCAATAAATCAATAAACTTTTAAATAAATATATATTTAAGTTACACACACACACACACTAGTGGCCCAGTGCACAAGGGAAATGAGTCCTTGTCCAATGTAGAAGGGACAAGTATGATATCCAGATCTGTTCTGATCCATTTTCAGCTGTGGATTACGATTTTTAAACATTCCAGTGGTATCAGAAATGAGACCATGTGTCTACAGGCAGGACACGGGCAGCCACCAGGAGAGTGGGTCTGGCCTGGTCTCTGGGGTGAAGGGCTGCTGGCATCGGCAGAACAACCAGAACGACTGGTCAACCACTCACTATGATGCACACTGACCACCAGGGGCAGACGCTCAATGCCAGTGCAGGACCCCTGGTGGTCAATGTGCTCCCACAGTGGGAGTACCGCTCAGCTGACCGACCCATTCAAGCGGCCTACCAGCTCCGGAGCAGCCACTCCCTCAGTAGTCCTGCAGGTCCCATCTCTGGAGAACGGGCCAGACACTGATGGGCCAGTGCCACCAGCCTGATCCCGACAGTGCCACTGGCCTCCTGGAAGTTGGCCTTGGGCACTGCAGCCACTTCTCCTCCTAGATGCTCTGCAAGGAGGAAATGATACAAAAGCAGCGTCCAAGTAGCTCCCGACAACCGGCACGAATGTCAGCGGGATGGATCCGGTTCCCAGGCTGGCAAGGGCATCCCACCACCCGCCTAGAGGGCCAATCGCATCCTGGCCCCACTACCTCCCTCAGGACGGGTGCCAGACGCAGGGCTCAGCTGGTGAGCGCCACTGCGGCCCAAGGCTCTCCCGATCAGTACTGACTGGGGCGTAAGCCCGCGGCAGGCACAGCAAGGCTGGGATGAGCAGGAGCGGCAGGCAGGAGCAGCAGGTGGCACTGGACTGTGGGTTTCAGCCAGATCCCCACAGGCCACCCCTAGGGACTCCACCCGTGCACGAACTCATGCACCAGCCCCCCCCCCCATATATATATATTAGTAAAAGCCTAAGCGACTGAACGACTGGTCAATAGGCTGCTATGATGCACACTGACCACCAGGGGTCAGACACTCAATACAGGAGCTGTCCCCTGGTGGTCAGTGTGCTCCTACAGTGGGAGCACCGCTCAGCTGACCTACGGGTGCCAGATGCCAGGCTGATGGCTGTCAAGCGCAGTTGCGGTGGCTTGAGCCTCTCCCCCATCCAAACTGGGACTGGGATTGGGACCGGCATTGGAATGACTGGGCATGAGCCGACTACCACGTGAGGAGCGAGGCTGCAATGACAAGTGGCGGCTGTGTGGTCATGGGTGCACCAGTGTCGCCCTAGGATGGGCACGTGGAGGCCGCAGCAGAGCGGCAGAATCTACCAAGTGGCGGTGGTAGGTGCAGCTGGGCTGGGATGAGTGGGAGCAGCATGGTGCCCAGCCCGCACTCATGCTCCTTCCTGGCAGCCTGCCGCTTCGTGCACTACTTTGTGCTGTGCAGAATTGACAAGCTGGCGGGTAAGGCTGGGCAGCGGCGGCACGGAAGTCCACTGATCCCCGCAGACTAGGCCAAGGGACCCCACCGGTACACAAATTCATGCACCCAGCCTCTAGTTATGACATGAGGCAGCTGGCTTTGAGTTGGGAGGCCTCTTGTATAAGGGTGTTGGGGAGTTGATACCCCCACTTCAAAATCTCCCCAACATTCTTAGCCTCTATTTAGTCACAGCTCCCCACTGACACATTTCAAAACAGATTAACGACTATATAGTATTTTTGTCCTTTTTAATTTAGAAAGAGAGAGAAAGGGAAGAAAATAATACAAAAAAAACACATTTGTTTAAATAACTATTGCAGAAAAGGAGATCTGGGCTGGATGCTGGGACCTACCTCTTCCAGAATGGGGGTTTATTATTGTTTTAAACAAACAAAGAAAAACAAAATAAATTATTCTGCTCAATACTGTTTGGCATAATTGCATTGTTTTTTTTTTTTTTCATCTTCTAAACACTCAAAACAGCCTCTTCAGGAAGCACTGAGATGAAACTGGCAAGAATGGCTGGTGCCCTGGCTCTCCAGAACGGTGGGAGGAGCCAATCCATCAAACCCCTACTTCCCCCAACCCACCCCCATTCTTTATTTCACTTACTTTGGGAATTAGGGAGGTACAGACTCAAGCTAAATTCTCCATATATTAACTTTTGGGGGTGCCCACTGCTCCACCCCAAGCCTCCTCTAATACTCTTCTGGTTACCGTTCCCCCAGCCGGCTGCAGGAACTACACCCACAGCCAGGAGGCTGCCTGGTGTTACCAACTCACTAAGAAAATGGATGGCATGTGTGTTGTCACTGCTGGATAGTGGGGATCCTTTCAGTGGTTTGGAAGCTTCACAGAAGCTCTTGTCCCCCCTAAAATCCCCTGACCTTGAAGGCTGAATACCACCCGCAGCTTCCTCCCGGGGGTTAAGCTGGGTTCAATCATGCAGGTAGTAGCTTCCAGTTGTAATCCCTGGTTGTTAGCTTCCCAGCCCACTCCGGAGCTGGAAATGGAAAGTGAGAGCGAGAAGGCAAGAGGTGAGCCGGCGGAAAGGGACCTATGGGCAGGGGAGGAGGCATGCAGGGGGACAAGTCTACTCCTCCCCAGCTAGGCTCCCGGCTATTTCCACGGCCAGCTTGGGATTTTTACAGAGTTTGTGTTGGTCAGCCATACCTGGTCATTGTAGGTTAACTAAATGATGAGCCCAAAGCAAAAACCACCCCCAAGCAAGAGGCTTCTTACTCCTCTTTGGGGTGATGTGTGAGGTAAGAAGGTGCATGCACCAGGCAGCTGGGCTCCCCATCTCCAGCCGTCTTTGCCACCAGTTGCTCCCTCTCCCTTGAGCCAGCCGAAGACGTGTTTGTGCGATAGAGAGAGAGAGAGAGAGAGAGAGAGAGAGAGAGAGAAGCAGCAGCGCCCTAATCCATCCCAGGGCATGTTTTGATTTTTTTTTCTAGAGCAAGTAGGCTGGTGAGGAGGCCCAGGGCCTAAGGAGACACTAGAAGTTGTAGCGAACAGTAGGGGCCTAGGGTACACGTGAGTGAGAAGCACCTTACATTGGACGTGAGGGGGCTTCCTGGTCCCCCGCCCAGTTCCTTACACCCAAGTTCAAGTTGGGCCCTGGGCGAACCCCGTCCCTAAGCAAAGGGTGAGCACAGTTCGTTTTCTGGTGAGACACTGGATGCCCTGGTCAGAAAGGCCATTCCATAGGGTGGCCAAAGGCGGGGAGGGAGGGGCGGTCGGGTGAGGGCCATTCGCCCTCTGGATTCTCACTGCCTTTCTTTGGTGGGTTAACACCCATCTCGGACTAGACAATAAAAGAAATGTGGGGCCTGACATTCTCTCGGAAGCCTGGAGAGGTGTGGGAGGGTTCCGGCTTTGCCTCTAAGGTCAAAGAGAGCTCCCCCTTCCCACTCCCGTAAGTCACATGGACCGTTCCTGGACCCACGCGGGGCCCCGGGAAGGGGAAGCCGAGCCGCCACGGCCCGGCCCGCCTCTCCCTTTCCTTCTCGGCGTCCCGACCCAGCCTGCAGACAGTACTTCTCCGAGGCCAGAAGCCACCTCTTCTCTTTAAAAAGCGTGAACCAAAATCCTACCCAAGAGCCTAGGGCTGTAGGGGTTGGGTCGGCCGGTTCGCCCCGAAGGCCATTGATTGGAGGAGACGGGCCCAGCGCCGGAAGTCGACTCGAGTTGAGGGGCACGATTGACTGAGACAAACAGAGACTTCGCCCGACCGCCGCGTTGATTGGGTGCCAGGCCCAGTCTTGTGATTGGCAGGGAACAGCCGGCGCTCGCTGGGCTGCAACATGATTGGTCCAACCGCGGCCGGGCGCGCTCAGTGTTGCCCGGAGACGCCCCACGCCCGGCGACGCGCGCAGGCGGAAGTCGCCACCCAGGGGCTGGTCTAGGGTCCCGAGCCGAAGCGCGCAGAGGCGCTGGGCGGCGGGCGGAAAGAGTCGCGGGCAGACCTTTCTCAGTTGCCTCGGTAGACCTCGATCTTGCTGGCCTTGGCCAGCATGTCGATGATGTGGGCCTCGAAGTCGGCGTCGTGCACGCCGGTCTTCCGGAACTCGCCCGCGTACCGGTTATTCTCCCAGTAGTGGTGCCAGTTGCCCCGGCTGTCAGCCCCGAACCCGTACACGTTCACCTGCAGGGGAGGGCAGTGCAAGTCACCCCACGTCGGACATTGGGAGACGGGACGCAGGGGATCCTTGTGTAGTAGTGGGGAAGGAGAAAGGAGCCGCAGCGACCCGACAACCCGGGAGGCCGGCAGCTAATCGATTCCCAGAGCGCGGGATGCATGGGAAGAGGGGACACCCACGCCTGGGCTAAGGACACTGACCGTGGGGGACTGCTGCTCCCTTTTAGTTCCTTCCACTCGTCTGATTGCTTCAAGAGCAACGCCCCAATTTAGGGCTAGCCCAGCTCTTGCTAACTTTTTTTTTTTAATGGAGTACTTTTATTTGAAAACTGGTCAAGTACCCAATACTCTACATTAAAGGTTTTACTGGCAAAAGTGGGTGTGCTGGGTGTGAGCACTGAAGTGTACGACAGAGCACTCCTGCCCACTAGCAAGATGCCTCCTTGAATGACTAACCTCCGTTTTTAACAATAAGAGAGCAGGCCTGGGGCCCACAGCTATGGGAGATAACCATCCCCCTGAATCTTTACAGTATCTCCATTCTATTCTATTTATGTCTTTTATTATTTTTTTCTTTATGGCAAGTAATATCAATAATGGAAGTAGTATTCTATTTCCTTTGTGAATAAATTTAACTTTTAAATGAAGTGATTTCAGATTTGGTCCAATTAAAGTAGTAAGCTTGGGAAATGCAGCACTCCACCGCCTAAAAATGGGGAGAAATCAAAGCCACTTGGTTTCTGCCTACAAAAACACATTCCCCTTGAAGCACTACTGAGCCCTGAGAAGGGATGCTTTCCCTTGCTCCATGGGTCCCACTATTTACCCCCAGACTGGGCTACCCACCTCATCACACACATGCAGGGCAAAGAAGAGCACCAGCATCCCTGTGGAAGGGTACCGCCCGTGATGCTCTGTCCACCTGTCATGGATGTACTTGAAGAAGGCTGGGTTGTAGATCTGGACCTGGAGGAGAAAATGTGACAGGCACATGAGGGTTTGGGGGGCCTAGAGGCACAGGGACAGGCTCTGAGTAGCTTGTGCCAGTTCCTCCACGCTTGCCCTTGGACCTGTTGATCTGTGTTCCCTGGTTCCTTGCAGCCTCTGTGGAGGCCAGGCAACCCAGCAGATGGGGACACTGAAGGTTCTGGAAGGGCACTAAGGGATACCTGAGCCACAGGACCAGGCACACCAGGAGGTCAGGTCTGCACTGTTTCCAATGAGGTGGGGATAAAGAAGGGGACAGAGGAGGAAACTTACCTTTTCTTTGTCTACTCGAAGGAAGGACTTCACTGGAGCATAGGTACTGCAAGCAAACAAAAACACACAAAACATTTAGATGCCTTTCCTTCTGCTCAGGCCTGAGTGATGACAGCCTCATCACAAGACCCCCTGCTTCCAGACTGCTCTCCCACACCATATCACTGCAGTACCTCACTCAGAACCTTCAATGGCTCCCCATGCCCTTCAGGATAAAATACGGATGTTTTATTAGACATACATTGGCCCTACCATATTCCAGCCCCAACTCTTCTCCCACAACTCTCTGCTATGAACTCCCCACTTGAGTTCGCCAATCATCTCAAACCCACCATGTGTGTGCTCTTACCTGTGCCCACCTGACACTCGTGCTACTCTCCTCACATTTGGCACCAATCCCTCCTTCCCTATTAGCCAGCCATGGCACCCGTAACCTACACTCCCTTTTCTAATCCCTTTTAAATCTATGGGATTTAAACGCTATAGCATTTATTTTAGCTTTTAGGTCTCCCAAACATAAAGTCAGGACACTGTGACTTACACTTCTGTGTTTAAAAATACATGATGAAAACAGGCAAGAGGTCGCAACAACTCAATTTTCCATTATTGGATGAATGGATAAGCAAAATGTGGCATGTCCATTCAGGGGAATACGATTTAGCCTTTAAAATGAATGAAATCTGCCCTAGCTGGTTTGGCTCAGTGGATAGAGCATTGGCCTGCAGACTGAAAGGTCCCAGGTTCGATGCCAGTCAAGGGCACATGCCAGATCCCCAGTGGGGGGTGTACAGGAGGCAGCCGATCAATGATTCTCTCTCATCATCAATGTTTCTTTCTCCCCCTCTCCCTTACTCTCTGAAATCAATAAAAAATATAAATAAAATGAATGAAATCTGAGACATGCTACAGCATGGATGAACCTTAAAAACACCATGCTAAGTGAAATAAGTCAGATATAAAAGGAGAAATGCTACATAATTCTACTTATATTCAGACTATTCTATTAGAATAGTCTGAATCATAGAGACAGAAATAACAGTGATTATCAGGGTCTTGGGGAAAGAAGGAATGAGGAGTTATTACTTAATGGCTACAGAGTTTCCATTTGAGATGATAAGACAGTTCTGGAGATGGGCAGTGGTGATGTTTGCACAATAATGTGAATGTACTTAATGCTACTGAACTGTACAATTAAAATTGTAAATTTTAAGTTACACACATTTTGCTGCACACACAACTAAAACCATGGTTAAGACAGTTGATTAGTGGTTGCCTTGGGGAGTGGGGGTTAAGGGAGTGGGGGTGATGGCTATGGTGTACAGGGGTATCTTTAGATCTGCAGATTAAAGGTTTTCATTTTTAGAACATGACAGTGCTCTAAAATTAATTGTGGTGATGGTTATACAACTCTGAATAGGCCAAAAGCCACTGCATTATATACTTCATGTGGGTGAATTGTACGGTATGTGAATTATATCTCAATAAAGCTGCTAAAAAAAAATACTTGGTTAGCCCTGGCTGCTGTGGCTCAGTTGGTTGGGCGTCATCCTGGGCACAAGGGGTTGCTGGATTGATTCCCAGTTAGGGCACATGCCCAGATTGCAGGCTCAATCCCTGTTAGGGGGTGTGCAGGAGGCAGCTGATAGATGTTTCTCTTAAATCAATGTTCTCTTTCTCTCTCCCTTCCTCTCTTTCTAAAAATCAATAAGCCCTAACTGGTTTGGCTCAATGGATAGAGTGACAGCCTGAGGACTCAAGGGTCCCAGGTTCGATTCCAGTCAAGGGCATGTACCTTGGTTGCGGGCACATCCCCAGTAGGGAGTGTGCAGGAGGCAGCTGATCAATGTTCCTCTCTCATCGATGTTTCTAACTCTCTATCCCTCTCCCTTCCTCTCTGTAAAAAAAATCAATAAAATATATTTTAAAAAACCTTAAAAACAAACAAACAAAACCTTGGTCCACTGAGTTTCCTGAGATTTCAAACGAAGCCACTGCCCCCAAAGAAAATTCTCAGAAGGCAGAGCTCCCACAGTTCGGAACCACCCCCTGGAAAGGAGACCAAAACCAGACTGTTCTTTCCTCGCCTTTCCACCACCACTGTGCTGGCTGTCACCATGCGGGAATTGACAAAAGAACATGCTCAGGCCTCAGCTAAGGCACCCCTTGGGGCCCTCCCTCCTGGGGCCTCCCTCCTCACCAGCCCCTCCTGGCTAAAATAGTTAAAGGAATTCTAAGATCCAGGCCCCAGGAAGACGCCTCCCAAGGTGGTCCTGTCACCCATATTGCACTCCCAGTCAGCAGGGCAGCTCACAATCGGATCTGTCCCGTGGACAGGGCGCTTGCGATCCACAGCAGGTCCAGGGCCTTGAAGGGCACCAACACAAAGCTGACGTTGGCGGGCAGGTTCTTGGCGCTCTCAGGGTACATGAAATGGTGGGTGGTTCGGCTGCCAACATCCTGCTCAAAGCCCACAGTTGGTGCCTGATTCATTCTGCAGGGACAAGAGGTTGACATGAGAAGAAACTGCCATAGAAACTGGTACACACAAAAGAAAAAGGCAAAAGAAGCTGGTACAAGATTTTTAGAGGACGATTTGGTGCTAGCCAAAAAATATATATAAATACACTCTGATCTAGCAATTCCATGACCAGAAATCCATCTGGAAAAATAGGTGCGGCCTGAGAGTGGTGGCTCAGTGGTTGAGCTATGAACTAGGAGGTCATGGTTCGATCCCAGTCATGGAATATGCCCAGGTTGTGGGCTCAATCCCCAATCATGGAGGAGGCAGCCAATCATTGATTCTCTCTCATCATTGAAGTTTCTATCTCTCTCTCTCTCTCTCTCCCTCTCACTTCCTCTCTGAAATCAATAAAGATATATATATATATATATATATATATTTTAAATAGGTGCATAAGTGTGCAAAGATGTGTGTACAAGGATATTCACTGCAATATCACAATAGTGAAAAGTAGAATCAAGCAATAAAGACTGGTTTATACATTTTGGCCCATTCACATACCATGTGGCCATCAGAATGAATGAAGTAGATTTACATGTGCTGGTAAGAAATAAGTCCAAGAGCCCTGGCCTGTCTGGCTCACTTGGTTGGGCATCATCCTGTGCACCAGAAGGTTGTGGGTTTAATCAGGAGGCAGTCAATTGATGTTGTGCTCTCACATCCATGTTTCTCTCTCTCTCCCTTCCTCTCTCTCTAAAAAATTGGTAAACTATTCTTGAAACAAAAAGTCCAAGAGTTATTTAGTGAAAAAACCAAGTGGTGTGAGGTATCCCACGTCTTTCCTTATAATACATAGCTCTTGAATACCTACTGTGTGCAGCAGGAGGGAATTACAACGCAGAAAGGGAAGACTTAAAATTTTATAGTATGATAACCAGTTTTTCATTAAAAGAAAGAAAAAGAAAAAATACTTTTGTATACAAATAGAAAAAAAATCTGGAATGGTATTAAAATTATTAATAATTCTTACTCTTGGGAAATGGGACGTAGGAGAATTCATTTTTATTGTGCACATTCCCGCCCCCCCTCCCCCATAATACCTCACTTCTGGGAGGAACAGAGCAGGTTGGGGAGGAAGGCTTAATAGGAATGGTGTTTCTCAGCTGCTGGGGCACAGAAGGGTAGCAGGCAGTGGAAGTCTTGGCTGGGCTCTAGGCTAGACAGGAGCTGGGGTCACGGTTGACTCTTGTGAAGACCCAAGAAACAAACCTCATGTCACCAGCAATGGAGAGACCAAGCTGGTCCTGCAGATCCAAGGGCTACAGCTGCCCCCAGGCTGGCTTCTGAGGACAGCCCTCCACCCGCCTTTCCCACTGAATTGGCAGCCAGAGCTTTCCAAGTCCCTTCTTAGACCTGTCACCCAGCATCACTATGCCTCCCTCCCTTCAGTGGGCCCTGCTGCAGAGCCTCCACCTCCTTGAGGTTCCCTTCCCCAACCTCAGCCACTGTCTCTGGGTAAATAGAGGCCCCTCTGCAGCTCCCAGCTTGCCTCCTTTGCCAGCAACTGGACGATGGGGGAGAATCTCAGGGGTTCTGGGTTCCTGGATGGGGCCTGGCACCCCCTCCCCCTTACCGCACCATTCTCACCATAAGAAGGGTTTTGCAAGGAGCGAGGAAAGCCTCGGAGACATTGCTGTCTCAGTGTTGCTATGGAGACAGCAACAGATTCTAAGATAAAGCCCTTCCTTCCTCCCCCTGGGAAACCCGGTCTTTCTGCAACGCTCATCCTACGAGATACTTGGTGAAAACTGGGCATTTTCAGCATCTTATTCTGCAGGGCGCTTCCTCCCCGGAGTGGGATGGCATTTCCTGCCTCCCAGTCTAGTGAAGAAGTCAGAACACAGGTCCAGGGCAGAAGGAGCAGCCCGCACCCGGCTCACAAGTCCACTCTTAGTCCCTGTCCATCCCCGGACTTCTTGCTCTGTGCCCCCGTCTGGAATGAATGCCCGTCCAAGCCTTCTGTCCTCAAGGCTGGGCACTGATGTCTTGTTGAACAAGTGAGCCCTCCCGCCACCCCAATCTAAACCTTGTGACATAAAGGACAGCAGCCCAGAGCGAGCACCAGTCATCCAACTGCTTGTCTGATTGATTCTATTTTTCTTCTTCTGCCCAGGACATCCATCTTCTGTGAGTTCCAGGAGGAATCACCTGTGACTATTAAGCAAGATGCTGGTTTGGGGTTTGGGCCCTCACCCCTGGTGCAACTACTGAGGAAACCAGGCAGGTAGGAGGGTCTCTGGTGGGCGTTTTCACCCGCAGCCAGCTAGGAGTCTAGTTTTAGCTCTTTTCAGACTAATTCAGAGTTGGAGACTGAGTACAGGCCTCAAGCAAAGTCTTGAATGGGAATCCTGCCTCCTCATCCACCCCAACAAAGGTGAGAACCTATCGCAGGTCTGGGTCTTAGAGACCTATAGCAGCCCCAGCTGCTGGCAGCTCCTACATGCCAGACAAGGCCACGGAGTCCAGTCCCCCCTCCAGGAGGCTTGGTGTCCCCGTGGCTCACCTCATGATGAAGTTGTGCCGGTCCACATCTGGCCCATAGCCAGAGCCCCGCAGGTTGCCCGAGTTCCCCACCACAGCACAGCGCCGGCACTGCTGGGGGTCCCGGAAACGGTAGGGGTTCTCGCCTGGTACTATCTGGAAGAGCTTCTCCAGCACCTCATTGGTATTGTGTGACTTGAACTGGGGCTGCAACATCTGCAGAGCGGAGGAGAAGGGAGTGGGTGTGAGAAGAGAGGGACTCCTGCCTGCCTCCCCTCCCCGGCCCTCACCCTCCAATGTCCAAGCCACACGGGACCCCTAACCAGGCTGTCAGGGAGCAGGAGTTCTCTGAGCAGTGAGGACCCTCCCCTCAACCACAGGAAAGTCTCCCTTCCAGCTGCTCTGATGCACTGAAAGGGGGTTGGGGGTCATGGGGGTCACATTCTCCAGGGACCCGTAGGCCTGTGCCAGGAGCAGAGAAACTTCTTGGGTGGGCGCTCACCCATGAAGAGGCCCCTGCTCAGCTGTCCCCTCGGGGCAGCTCTGAGTCACATCAAGAGGTAGTCTTGAGGTGCAGGTAAGGTGGAAAGTCCCCCTGAGCTGCAGGGGTTCGTTTGAATCAGTCTACAGGGAGTGGAGGTGACAGAAGCTGCCTGGGGCAGAATTCATGGGATAGGTGGAGCCACTCCCTGAGCCTCCAGGGAAGGCAGAGAAGCACAGATATTCTTTCAAAGCCAGACTAGCCAGAATGAAGCTGGTCTCCTGCATGTCCCAGCACCATGCAGATGGAAAAAAAAACCCACACAAAATGAGGCCCAGGTAGCATTCTAATGCCTTCAGAGCCAGGCAGGTGACACACAGGAATGAAGTGGCAGGTGGGGCTCATGGCAAACAGGAGGCCCCATCCATCAATAAGAGGCAACTTCAGTCAATTGTTGTCACGTGAGTTGTGAGCCCAGAAGGGCTACATTGTCTAACTTTTCAAGAGAAGCCGAACGTATGGATTTCATGTGCAATATCCTAATTCATAAATGCTGATAACAGTAATATTTTATTTTATTATTATTTTAAATATTTTTTTATTGATTTCAGAGAGGAAGGGAGAGGGAGAGAGAGATAGAAACATCAATGATGAGAGAATCATCGATTGGTTGCCTCCTGCACACCCCACTCTGGGGATCAAGCCCGCAACCCGGGCATATGGCTCTACTGGGAATCGAACCATGACCTCCCGATTCATAGTTCGACTCTCAACCACTGAACCACACCGGCCGGGTCACTAAGAGTAATATTTTAAAAACACTGAGTGGGCTGGCCGTGGCCCACAGGCCACCAATTGGTAAGGTCAAACTAGGCCTTTAAAATGCCTTGTGTGCCTGGCCTGTATGGCTCAGTTGGTTGGGCATAGTCCTATGCACCAAAATATTGCCAGTTCCATCCCATAGACCCCTAGTAGGGAGCGTGCAGGAGATGGCCGATCAATGCTGTGCTCTCACATCGATGTTTCTCCCTCTCTCTCTCCCTTCCTCTTTCTCTAAAAATCAATAAAAAAATCTTTAGCCCTAGCTGGTTTGGTTCAGTGGCTACAGTGTCCATCTGCGGACTGAAGGGTCCTGGGCTCAATTCCAGTCCAGAGCACATCCCAGGTTGCAGGCTCGATCCCCAGTGTGGGGCATGCAGGAGGCAGCAAATCAATGATTCTCTCTCATCATTGATGTTTCTATCTCTCTCCCCCTCTCCCTTCATCTCTGAAATCAATAAAAAAAATTTTAATATCAAAATAAAAAATCTTTTAAAAATAAAATAAAATTCCCTGTGGTCTGAGCCATAATACCTGGTTTTGTGGCTGAGCAGGAGTTGCTCAGGGGACAGAATACGTGGAAGGGATAGGGGAGGGAGGGGGTCTGCTTCTCTCACCTCTTCTCAGCACAGGAAGGACCCCTGGGAACAAGAACACAGACTCAGAGCCCTGGCTGGTGCAGCTCAGTTGGTTGGAGCTTTGTCCCATGCACTGAAAGGTGGCGGGTTCAATTCCCAGCCAGGGCACCCAGGTTGTGGGTTTGATCCCTGGTTGGGACACAGACAGAAGGCAACTGACGGATGTTTCTCTCACATATCGATGTTTCTCTCTCTCTCCCTTCCTCTCTCTCTCTAAAAAAAAAAAAAAATCAAATTTTTTTTTTTTAAAAAGAACACAAACTCAGTGAACACAAACTTAGCTATGTGTATTCCTAAGTTCACGGTTAAAGAGGATGACTGTGGGGGCAGAGGAGAAGCGGCTTCTACTGCTTGCTGCTTAAAGAGCCCCGAGTTCCATCCCTGTGGGCTGGAAGTCTGGCCTGCCCATAGGTTTACCTCTGTCTGGTGTCCGGTTCTGGACCTAGGTGGCCACCACTGGGACCTGGGACCTTGGGCAAGCCCTGTGAACCCTGAACTTTGATATTATCCATGAAAGGAAGGCTGTGACTATGAGCAGTAGGCAGGACCCTTCAAGGGCTCCAAGCTGTCACAGGAAGGATCGTGGGACTCCTGGCGAGCCCTCCTCTGTATATCTCCCTGTCCTTAGGAACGCTGACAGTCCGGGCCAAGAAGCAGGATCTGTAAGGCAGAGTCCGACCACTTCTCTCATCTATGTCACCTGCCTGGCCCAGTGGGAATTTCTGGTCTATGCTCAGCCCCTACCAGCACTAGGGAAGATCAGGTCTCTCTCCTTCCAGGCCAAAGCTCACTCTGCCTTTCAGATTCTGGGATCCTAGTAGGTAGCTCTGGTTCAATGGGCCTCTTGCTTTGTCAAGACTCTAGGACCAGAAGACAGCCCCAAATCCCAGAGGGGGCTCTAAGAGCGACTCCCAGATGGAGTGGGGGAACAGATCCCTGGAGAGGAGCAGCAAAGGTAGACAGGAGGGGCCATGCCTCTCTCACCATCCACCACTTCTGGACATCAGGGGGCAGATCCATGTTCTCTCGGGTCCAGACAGGGGAAATGTTGCTGTCGAAGTGGCTGTCAAACCAGTCGGAGGTCCCGGCGTCGCCCATGCAGCGGCGGCAGGCACAGTTCTTGCCAGCGAGCCCCTCCTTGCTGAGGCGCTGCAGGCCGGCATAGCCAGGCACCAGCTTCACCCGGTGGGTGCCCCCCAGCGCCCCCGAGTCCAGGTAGGGCAGGGTGGCCATGCTGTGGTGAGAGTAGGTGAAGAGCAGTGACATGATGAACACCAGCAGGAAGGCCACGGAGAGGAACCACACCCGCAGGGAGCACTTCATGGTGCGAGGCCCCGGGAGGCTGGACCACCAGCCCGGAGGGCGGCCGGTGTCCCTGCGGCCACTCCTTTCCCAGCCACTGGCAGGCCTGCCTGTTCTAGGGCATAAGGGCGTGTGCTGCAGAGCAGATGGCAGCAGGCGTCCCAGGCCACGCCCGATCTCAAGGTCAGGAGAAAGCACGTGGGCAAGAGTGGCTCCCCTGTCCTTGAGCCACTTGGGCCCCTGCTTATGGCTTCATTGGGTCCCTCTGTCACTAGCTGGGCCACAGATGCTCTGCCTCTCCCGCTGCCCTGGCAAGGGGGAGGTCAGTCCATTCCAGCCTTCTAGTCCATCGGGCTTGCTGGCTGCCAGCGCTGGGGGTCCCCCTCTTTGGCGGCTTGAAATGATCCAGTCTGGAGTAGTCGAGGACCTTGTGGTTCATGAGCAGACACCGAGGCAGCCCCTCGCCCCCTGCAGCAGGGAAGTCCTTGAACCCCAATCGCAACAGAGGACATGTGGGCTTCAAGCAGCCTTGATTCCATGCAAGAGGCAGCCACCCCTCAGATGGTCCTCCGGCCCCAACCCTTCTGCCAGGGGAGGGGACCCGGGCCCCAACCCTGAGGGAAGAAACCAGGACGCCCTGGGGGTGTCACAAAACCCTGCTGCAGAGGCCAAGATCCTCCTTGCGTTAGGTTCTGTCCTTCCACTTCCCATCGAGGTACAGGTCCGTTCTCCCGATGTTCCCAGCCCCACTACAGTTTCCTAAGGGGGTGCAGAGCTCCTGCAGCGATGGAGTCCTGGGGCCTGGGCACAGGTGCGGCTCAGCGGCGTGCTGCTTTGAACGCAGTCTGGGTCATCTGGGTCAGCAGAGCGTGTGCCAGGCTCCCAGCCAGAGCCCAGGCCTCCTTCCTGGTGCTGCTGGCCCAAACTCAGAGGCTGCTCTGCCCATCCCCGCTCCTCAGGGGCCAGCCGTCCTGCCGTCTTGCCATTAGCTCCTGCTAGCGGTAATCCCTTGGCAGGTTCCCCTTGCCTGTCAGGCGCCCGGCTGCCTCAGCATGACCCTGAAATTGCAGAGAGAAAAAATAACGTGCAGACAAAAATGGCACACATCAGCGGTTCTCAACCTGTGGGTCGCGACCCCTTTGGGGTCGAATGACCCTTTCACAGGGGTCGCCTAAGACCGTCGGAAAACACATATATAATTACATATTGTTCTTGTGATTAATCACTATGCTTTCATTATGTTCAATTTGTAACAATGAAAAGACATCCTGCATATCAGATATTTACATGACGATTCATAACAGTAGCAAAATGACAGTTATGAAGTAGCAACGAAAAGAATTTTATGGTTGGGGGTCACCACAACATGAGGAACTGTATTCAAGGGTCGCGGCACTAGGAAGGTTGAGAACCACTGGCACACACATTCTCCCCCAGCTTTGGCCCCAAGTCCCAGCAGGGACCAAGCTGGTAGGAGAGGCAATGCCCACCTAACGGAAGGGTAAACAAAAGAAAGGGCTCTCGCCTCTAACTATCCACAGATAGCCGTTGCCCTCCTCACTGGGGGCCTCAGGACGAGATGAGCCCACCATCCTCACTTCTTAGCCAGAAGGTAAACAAGGACAGAACGTGATCCCCTCGAGTCACAAGGCAAGTCCCTGCAAGAACCAGGTTTAGAAAGCTCCTAGCCCAGTTTCCCTTACAGGCCCCCTCCCTGACCACCCCCCCTCCCCCGGCATGCGCTCACCGAGGCCCAAGAGCCATCCTGGCTCTCCTCAGCTCCCCGCCTGCTTCCTGCAAGGCTGCGCCTAAGTCCTTTTATCACCTTGTGGCCTGTGGAACAACTTTATAACGAACGCTTAATAGAATATGTTTTTTGGGTTTTTTTATTGATTTTTTTACAGAGAGAGAGGGAGAGAGACAGAGAGTTAGAAACATCGATGATGAGAGAAACATCGATCAGCTGCCTCCTGCACATCTCTCACTGGGGATGTGCCCGCAACCCAGGTATATGCCCTTGACCGGAATTGAACCCGGGACCCTTCAGTCCGCAGGCCGACGCTCTATCCACTGAGCCAAACCGGTTTCGGCAATAGAATATGTTTTTTAAATGTTCCTAGTCCAGGTATGTGAGGTTAATTGCAGGTAAAACTTAATTGAACAATATCCCAGGGGACTGAGGATATGACTCCCGTCCTGGTGCCTGTGAGACGCCCCTCTAAGTAACACAGGAGGCTGGGCCCGGGCCCTGAAACTTGCCCTCTTCTCTCTCAATGCAGATTATAAATTATAGACGAGGCATTCCTCGGTTAGCTCAGGAATGAACAATCCTCCAGCCCTGGTGTCGGGACAGGACATGACTGTGTCTGAACACCGGGTGCCAAGGCGCAGCACCACCACCGCCAGGCCCTCTGGGCGTTGTCTCCATCCGTATGTTATGGATGGAATGAATGCCAAGGCCCCTGGGGGCACTGACGGCCTGAGCCCTGTGCTGCCCTGGCTGGCAAGAGCAGGGAGAAGAGGCCACTTGCCAGAGGTTTGGCCTGAATCCATCCCATCTGCAAAGGAGCTGGGGCAGGGTCAAGGCAATGCTGAGAGTGCGGCCTCCGGGCCCTGGTCCCAGCACCACAAGGATTACTTAATCCTGGCTCCCTGCCTCTCCCCGCCAGCTCCTGCCTAATCTGGTAGCCCGGTTCTGACCTGAGCCCTGGGCCTCACCACCGCTCACTGAGAGCCCCAGCTGCAGCCAGCCCTTCCCGGGACCCCTGGCTGCAGAGAAGGCCTCTCCGCCTCTCCGTTTAAGAACCTCAGCTGCCCCTTCGTGGGCAGTTCAGATTTCTGGGGTCAAAGCCATCAGGGAAAGGAACCAGCACATTCCAACAAGGACGGCATTATCCAGCAGGGGGGCGGCAGTGGGCATGGGGGGAAGGCAAGACTCACAGAAGTGAAGGAACTTGCATTAAGTCACAACCTCAAGAATGGAGGCAAGATCGGAGTCCAGGTCTATCCGGTCCAAAGCCTGTGACTGGCCAGGGGTCAGGGATGAGAGACAAGGAGACACAGAAGCTGGCTTCCCAGGGTCAACAGTGAAGCTTCCCCCACACGCCTCACCCAGGGCTCCTGGCTCTCCCCCCTTGGGGCCCCAGCAGCACTGGCTCTGGGGTGCTCCCTCCAACTCTACTGCCGTCTGGCAGGCCCGACTCCAGGCATGACATTTGGCTGACCGGTCTCTTCCAGTCCCCCCTGGGCCCATTTCCATGCCCAACATCTAAGGAGGAGAACTTGGTTTGGCAGAGTCCCGCTCTCGGCGTCCCGTGACCTGAGTGTCAGCTGTGAGGCAAGGGGGCCCTGGGAGGCGGTGACCGTGCAGGCTGAGCAAGGGATGAGAGTGAGGGCCTCCCTGGGGAGACCTGGTTTCTGGTGGGCAGCCTATGGTGGCGTCTGAAGGCACAGGAGGCTCTAAAGGAAACATCTCTCATCAGGGGCGTCAGAACTCCTGGGGATTCTAACTCAATGAAGAGGCACCTGACCGCCTTGGCGGGGAGAGGAAAAGCCCTAGTTTCAACAACATGTTAGGAAAGAGCACAGAAATAGAGTGGCTGGCAAAAGCCCAGCTTTGGGAACCCCACGGCCAGGCTGCTCCCGGGAGCTTGAGCTGCTCCACTTGCATTGAGTGCAAAGGGAAGCGCAGGTTGTTGCTAATTGGGACTAAAAAAGACCAGAGGTCCCCAGGCATGCATTAAAAACCCCAGAAGTCATCCGCTGCTGACCCTCACTAAGTGCTTTCACTTGTCTCGTTTTCTCCTGGGAACCCCCAGTCCCTCCAGGAGCCCACGGACTACTTCTGATGTCTCCCCTTCACAGCTGCTCTGACATTCACACTCAGCCCATGCATATACCCCGATATAAAAAAGTCGGGGTTGGGGGGCACACGCACACACTTTGGCATCAGTCCCCACCTCTGTTGCCCACAAAAGGAAGCAGGCTAGCCTTCTGGGCCTCCCAGCTCATGACGCTTCTTTATTCTTCCGGTAGACACTTAAGGGGCCAGTGGGATGGGGTGGGATAGGACACTCCAACTCCCAAGTCTTACCTCACTTGGAACAATTTTTTTTTCCAGTAAGGCTTAATTTATATATAATAAAATACAGAGCACTGCCCAGAAAGTTCCCTGTGCTCCCTTCCAGGCAAGATCCACTGCTCACAGTTCTCTGAGTTGTCACCACAGATTGGATTGACTTGCTCTTGAACCCCATACAAACACACAGTATGTATGTACCCTGGCATCTGGCTTCTTTTGCCCGGTGCAATGTTTTAGAGATTCATCCAGCAGTCTGTGTGCATCCGCGCAGTTTATCCTCCTCCATGTCTGGACATTTAAACTGCTTCCCGTTTTGGGTCATTAGGAACCTAACGGCCATGAACGTCTTGTGCAAGGCCTTTTGTGGACACCCCCTCCCCCCCATGGCCCTTGGGTAAATGCCTGGGAGTGGAGCTGCTAGATCTTAGGATGGGTGTGTGCTTAACTTTACTAGAAATAACCATATAGTTTTCTAAAGTGGTTGTAGCATTGTACATTCCCATTAGTACTGTATGAGGGTTCCATTTGTTGTTCCACACCGTGATCTTTTCTTTTTTTTTTTTTTTAAATATATTTCATTGATTTTTTACAGAGAGGAAGGGAGAGAGATAGTTAGAAACATCGATGAGAGAGAAACATCGATCAGCTGCCTCCTGCACATCTCCTACTGGGGATGTGCCTGCAACCAACGTACATGCCCTTGACCGGAATTGAACCTGGGACCCTTGAGTCCGCAGGCCGACGCTCTATCCACTGAGCGAAACTGGTTTCGGCTTTTCTATCTTTTTAATTTTGGGTATCCTCGTGGTATATGGCAAACTCAGGTATTTCTACCACTGCCAGGTACACAGGAACATGTGCACGAAGAGATGTAAAAGAATGCTCCTCAGCCGAGACCGGCTTGGCTCAGTGGATAGAGCGTCAGCCTGCGGACTGAAGGGTCCCGGGTTCGATTCCGGTCAAGGGCATGTACCTTGGTTGCGGGCATATCCCCAGTAGGAGATGTGCAGGAGGCAGCTGATCGATGTTTCTCTCTCATCAATGTTTCTAACTCTCTATCTCTCTCCCTTCCTCTCTGTAAAAAAATCAATAAAATATATTTAAAAAAAAAAAAAAAAAAGAATGCTCCTCATAGCACTGGGTAACCGCTGAAAACTGCAAGCGAAATGGCCATCAGCATAGGATGGATAAATTCTGGTACATTCACATCATATAGTAAAAATGAACAAACACCAGTTTTAGACATCAACAGGAATGGATATGAGCAAAAAAAAACCATTACGTTGAGCAAAAAGAATAAGTTATGGATAAATGCCTAAAGTATGAGTTCATGAAAAGTTCAAAAGTACCCAAAGACAAGTAAGGAATTGTTTAGGCCTCTATACATAGAGGATAAAACAAATAGATACAATCAAGACAACAGAGACAAATTCAGGAAATTCCCTCTGGAGGGGAAGGAAGGCAGATACCATCAAGGAGGGGCCGACAGAGGCTTCTGAAGAATTGGGTTGGGAATAGAGTACAGAGTGATTTTGATTTTTGTTCTTAAAGGAGTATAGATGTGATATGTAAGATGTTGAATGTGTGATGTATTTCATAATAAAATCTAATGTTTTTAAGGTTAAAACATTTTTTTTTACTAAAAAGTCACTCTGGCTGCTGTGGGAGCCTAGCACGGAGACCAGAGAGGCGCTCCTGTAATACCCCAAACAGTGCTGATGGTGAGCAGCGGCTGGCTGTGTTCTGAAGGGTTTAACTGATGGGCTGGAAGGGGGTGGGAGATGGGAGAGAAAGGCCCAAATCAGAGTGACACAGAGGACTGTGACCTGAGCAACCTGGTGGTAGGGGTGGCATTCATTCATACAGAAAAGACAGGAGCCCTGGCTGGTGTTCAGTGGTTGAATATCGTCCCATGCACCTTAGAGGTCACAGGTTTGATTCTCGGTCAGGGCACATGCCTAGGTTTCGGCCTCCATC